TTCTATCATGCCCCCGCTTAGAGTCTCCAGTGACTTGTCACTGCTGCAAGAATAAAGCCCCCGCCCAGGGCATGCCTTGGCTCCTCTCCAACTTTAACTTGTCCTTTACTGTCCATCACCCATCAAGTCCCAGTCACGTTGACCTTCTCACTTCCTTAAACATCTATCAAGCTTGTCCCTCCTCTGGAGCCTTTGCCCTGCTGTTCCCTCTGCCTGAATTCTTAGTCTGGCTCTCTGAATAACACAGTGTGTGTGTGTGTGTGTATATATATAATATGTATATATGTATACACACATATATTTTTAAATGTTTATTTGTTTTTGAGAAAGAGAGAGCAAGCAGGGGAGGGGCAGGAGAGCAGGGGATAGAGCACCCCAAGAGGGCTCCATGCTGATCGCTGTGAGCCCAATGCAGGGCTTGAACTAACAAACCATGAGATCATGACCTGAGCTGATGCTGGGTGCTCAACCAACTGAGCCACTTAAGCTCCCATATATATATATGTTTTTTAATTTTTATTTTAAGTAGGCTCCTTGCCCAATGTGGGGCTTGAACTCATGACCCTGAGATTAAGAGTTGCATGCTCTACCGACTAAGCCAGAGAGGCGTCCCTGAATAACTCAGTTTATTTATTTTATTTTATTTTTTAGGACTTTTATTTTATGCTTATTTATTTTTGAGAGAGTGAGAGTGCGAGGGAGATGTGGGGCGGTGGGGGAGGGGACAGAGGATCCAAAATGGGCTCTGTGCTAACAGCAGAGAACCCTGATGCGGAGCTCAAACCCACAAACTGTGAGATCATGACCTGAGCCAAAGTCAGATGCTTAACCTACTAAGCTACCCACGTGCCCCTGGCACCCCAAAGTTTTAGGGCTTTACATTTTTTTTAATTTAAATTTTATTTTTAAATTTATTTTTGATTTTAGAGAGAGAAAGAGCAGATGAGCAGGGAAGAGGGGCAGAGGGAGAGGAAAAGAGAGAGAGAGAGAGAGAGAGAGAGAGAATCCTAAACAGGCTCCATACTCAGCATGGATTATGACCTGAACCAAAATCAAGAGTTGGAAGCTCAACTGACTGAACCACCCCAGGAGCCCAGGGCTTTTTTTTAAATAACTCTATTTAAATGTCACCTTCTCAGCAAGGCCTCCCTGACTACACTGTTTAAAGCAGGTTCCCCTATTAAGTCCCCTAATTCTCTCTCAGCCAGTGACTTGTTTCTTTCATAATTTGTATAATGAAAAAAAAAAAGACCTTCAGTTTAAAAAAAAAAATCACCTCCTCTTTGAAGCCTTCTGGAATTTAGTCTCCAAGCAGTTTACATCATGTCGGTCAATTTAGCAGCTTGAATGGGAGGAAATAAACTGTTTTTCCCACTGGGTAACCAGCACCATTTCTCACAATCTTTTTTTTTTTTTTTAATTTTTTTAATGTTTTATTTATTTCTAGGAGAGAGAGAGAGAGAGAGAGAGCGTGAGCAGGGGAGAGTCAGAGAGAGAGGGAGTCACAGACTCTGAAACAGGCTCCAGGCTCTGAGCTGGCAGTCAGCACAGAGCCTGACGCGGGGCTCGAACCCACGAACCGTGAGATCATGACCTAAGTGAAAGTTGGACGCTTAACCGACTAAGCCACCCAGGTGCCCCACCATTTCTCACAATCTGATATATAATTCTTATAATCATTTGATGCTTCATTCTGTCTTGCGTAGAGCTTTATGCCGCATACCCTGTGTGCCTGAGCTGAGTATCACCCATTAGTGCAGCACAACAGACTGTGAAGCTGGATGACCCTGGGATCCAATCTGTCTCAGCTCCGCCACTTCCAAGCTATGTGACCTTGGTCAAGCATTCCAGTTATCCATGGCTGCGTAACAAACTACCCCAAAACTTAATGGCTTAAAACAACAATATTTATTTGGCAGTTTGGGACCGCTTATTTCTGCTCTACTTGGCATCGGCTGGGACAGCTCCAGGGCTGGGGGCTGAATCGTCTGAAGGTTTATTCTCTCCCATGTCTGGTGGCTAGCAGGGAACCGAGCTGGAGTTGGCTGGGACGCCTTCACTAACCCCTCCGTGAAGCCTGGGCTTCCTCCCAACTTGGTAGCTGGGTTCCAAGGTGAGTGGATTGAGAGCGAGTAAGCAAGCATGAGCGCATGAGAGAGAGTGAATGGCCTTTTTAGGAGCCAGCCTTGGAAGTCACAGGATCACTTTTGCCATTCTCTGTTGGTTGAGGCGGTCCCAGAGGCCTACTCAGGTTAAAGGGGAGGGAATATAGATCCCAACTGGAAGAAGGTCAATGCCACACTTAAAAGGAGTGATTGGATGGGCTGTGTATTGCTGGGCCTATCTTCGAAAAATGCAATCAGCCGCAAGAAACTCCTGACCTTTCTGAGATCCTCTACTGAAGTGTTGAGCACAGAGCCTGGCATAAGTGAGTGCCAAACGGTCAGGAAGCTGCAGACAGTCTCCCTGCCGCCATGTTGCCCATTCTGGACTCCCAGCAAGTCCAGGTTTACCTGGTCTGAACTGAGCCTGAGTCCAGAGCCCCTACCTAGGCCCCATGCCACCTCTGGAGCCCTCCCCACCAGGGCCTTGTGGCTGGGGCTACACAGTAGATTCATGGCTCCTCAAATCCAAAGGCCTTCAGAGCAGGGAGGGCCCTCAGCCTCCTTCTTAGCCATCAGTGTTGCGACCCAGGATCGTGGTAGAGCCAGGACTTGGGCCCAGGTCCAAGTGGGGAGATCCAGGCCACTCTAATCTCAGGACCACCAGTGCGGCCACGGGTGTGTCAGGAGCGGCTAAGCTGGCCCGATGTAGCATGTCGCCTGCCTGGATCCACCATCCAACATTTCCAAACCTAGATAATGCATAGAGGAGAAACTGAAACACAGAGAAGGTAAACCATTTCTAAGAACTCTGTAGCATCTCTGTGCCAGAAAAGGACCAGCTTACAAGAAATGGAGGCATCAGAGCTGGAAGGACCCTGTCACCTGTCACATTACACTAGACCGGGTGGGGACTCCGAGGCCCAGGAGGTGGGAAGGCTTTGCCCCCGTGCCACACAATACCAGCTTTGTGGTATTTTGTGTGATGACCCAATTGTGGCCCATCTCCCCCCTACACTCTACGCTCCATGAGGTCAGGAATACACCGATGACAAGTCCACTCATCGTCCTATCTGGTGCCTATGGACCAGGTGAGTGTTCACTGGGAACAGGGGAGCTGGTGGCTTGCCGGGATGGGGTGGGAATACTTTGCGGAGAACTTGCTAGGTGGCCCTGCTCCACGTGTCTCTGGGGCCACCTGGAGGAAAAACCTGGGGGTGGAGGGGGCACACACACACACCAGGACAGCCCAGAACAGGATGAAGCCATGGCTCAGGTGAGAGGGCAACCCCCAGTATTCACTGCTGTGAGGGAGTGATGAAGCCGACCTGATGCCAACCGAATGTCAAGGGCAGGGGAGGTGAAGAAACATGATTGGGGAGGGTGGGGAAGGGGTAGGGGAGGGTGGGGGGCGAGAGAGGAGGTGGAGGAAAAGGAGAGGAGGCAGGAACGGGGTGAGGGGAGAAAAGGCTGCAGAGGGGTGAAATAACCCTGCCCCCCTCTCCAGGTCGCAAAAGGGGGTGCCACTCTGAAGGGGCAGCCGAAAGACTTAAAACTGGCTCGGCCCAGCGGTGGCTCGTCGAGGAAGAGGAGTGGCGGCAAGGAGCGGGGGAGGGGAAGGAGGCGGGAAGGTGTGATGGACACGGGAAAACCAACAACACGGCCAGAAGCACAGCCCTGGAGGGGAAGAAAGGAAACCGCCGGAGCCGGCGCTCTCGGGCTGCCCGGGGCTGCCCTGGGGAGGAAACGTGTGGGGATCAGGATAATTGTCCTCAGTCCGTGCCAGTCCCTAGCGGGGTCAGAGCCTACTCCCAAAGCATCGCAGGTCTGATACCTCATAATGGGCAGCCTCCATTTTAGCCGTGCAGGGTCTGAAAGCGGGCTGGGCTTGGAGGGAGTAAGTGTGAGATCCCTGCTTGTCAGGTGTGCAGAGCTGGGCGTGCACCTAGGGCTGCACGGTCCCTGCGCCTGTAAGAGGGAGGCGGAGGTAGAAGCACCAGAGCACGCCCTGGAGGTGTGAGGTCTGCGGTCTGCGTTCCATCCTAGCCTCGCCACTGACTTTGCGCTAATCGCGTGTCTTCCCTAGACTTCAGTTTACGCATCTGTACAATGGGATAATTGGTCTTGCTTTGCAAGGTTGAGGGGGGCGGAGTTCGCGCACGCTCCGCACAGCCGCGAGGGGCGAGGCACCGGCGGCGTATATGGATGCTGGCTCCGGCGATCTGAGGTCGGCCCGGCCTCCGCCTGGGAGTCCCCTCGCTCGCCGCTCCCGCGGCCCCTGCCCGGACGCTGGGCGCCGGGGAGCCGCGGCCGGGTGCGTTTCCCAGGCGGGCAGGGGAGGGGGCGGCGGAGCGGAGGAGGACGGAGCCCGGGCCGCGGCAGCCCAGGCCCGCCTGACCCTCGAGGGGGTCGCTGTTGCCTCGCAGATCCCTCTCTCGCTCGCAGCCCGTGTCCCTCCCTGCCGCTCCCGCCGCGTCCGCCTTTTGTTCGCGGAGCCGCGCGCCCCCGAGCCGAGGCGGCTGGGCGGGGAGCTGGCGGGGCTGCGCGGGGGGCGGGCCGCGCCGGGCGGAGCCGGGGCCCGGGCCGCAGCCGGACTCGGAGCCCGAGGGAGCGATCGGCGCGCAGGCAGCCGAGTCCCGGGCGCACTCCGGGGGCGCGGCGAGGCCGAGGGGGCGGGCGCCGGGCGGAGCCGGAGTCGCAGCCGGGGCGCCTGGAGGCGATCGGGCCGCTCTCTCCGAGCTCAGGGCAGCGGAGAGCCCGTGCGGCGGGGGTCGGGGCCAGAGCGCAGCCCCGGGGCTGAGGTGGGCCGAGAGGAGGCGCGGCCCGAGGGGCCGGAGCGGCGCCGGGACCCTCCCCAGGGGCGCGGAGGCCGGGTGGGCCCGGGCCATGCTCGCCGCTCGCTGAGGCCAAGGGAGGCCGCGATGGAGGTGCCGGCGGGGGAGCCCCCGGCCCGGGGCTGCGGTCCCCCGCCCGCGCCCGCCCCGGAGAGGAAGAAGAGCCACCGCGCGCCGTCGCCGGCCCGGCCCAAGGACGTGGCCGGCTGGTCTCTGGCCAAGGGCCGCCGAGGCCCAGGCCCGGGCGCCGCAGCCGCCTGCAGCGCCGCGTCCTCCGCGCGGCCCGACAAGAAGGGGCGCGCAGTGGCGCCCGGGGCGCGGAGCGCGGGGACGCGAGTGGCCGGGGTCCGCACCGGGGTTCGCGCCAAGGGCCGCCCGCGCCCGGGCACCGGGCCGCGACCGCCGCCCCCGCCGCCCAGCCTCACCGACAGCAGCTCGGAGGTGTCGGACTGCGCGTCGGAGGAGGCGCGCTTGCTGGGCCTGGAGCTGGCGCTGAGCAGCGACGCCGAGTCGGCGGCCGGGGGCCCGGCGGGGGCCCGCACCGGGCAGCAGCCCCAGTCCGCGCCGCCAGCACAGCAGCCGCCGCGGCCGCCCGCCTCCCCCGATGAGCCGTCGGTGGCCGCGTCGTCGGTGGGCAGCAGCCGCCTGCCCCTCAGTGCCTCGCTCGCCTTCTCCGACCTCACCGAGGAGATGCTGGACTGTGGGCCCGGCGGCTTCGTGCGGGAGCTGGAGGAGCTGCGCTCGGAGAACGACTATCTCAAGGTGGGGGCGCTAATGGGCGAGAGGGAGGCCCCGGGAGGTGCGGGTTGTGGCGGCCCCGGGGGCCTGAGGCACCAGCAGGCCCACCGTCCCACGAAGGAGCTGGGAGACGGAGACTACCCCCGGGCTCCCACACACCCTGCCTCCCTTTTTATCTGGGAAACCGCCTCCTGAGGAAGACCCTGGATGACGAGACTGGCCAAAGGGTTCTGCTTTTGGAGGGAGGGAGGCGTGAGAAAACTGCTTTGGAAGATGCGTTACTGTATGCATTACTTATGGGGGGGGGGTAGAATGAGGGGCTGGACCTCTGTCCTTCAGCGGCTTAGAACCCCCACGCCCCAGGCCAGAAGCGAGGCCTCTGATGGCTCTCTTTTCCGGGACAGGTACGGGTGTGCCCTTCTGCCAGGGAAACCTGTGGCTGTCCCCTACCAGGGAGAGTCCAGGACACCATTCTGAGCCTTTACCCGGGGCATTCCTTGGTTCAGGCCTGTCCCCGCCTGCCTTTTAGGGCGGGTCCCGTTTGAAAGCATGACATCTGGGAACATCCCCTTGGCTAGAGTCCGACTTCCGCCCAGTCTAACGGTCCCACAGCCTGGGAGGATGATGTCTGGGAGAACTGGTTCAGAGGCGGCTTCCTAAATCCCAGGATGTTGTCTTCTGCTCTCGTCTGCCCGGCACACACAGCAGTCCCGCGGGCCCCTTATGGCTGTTGCCCTTGGCCTTCCTGTGTGCCCAGTGAGAGGAGGGAAGCTGTTCATCTGAAAGCTGCCTTCCTGCTGAGCATCTGGGGCACCTGAGAGCTTCCCCGGAGAACAGACCTACCTTGTTTTCACCCTTTCAGTGAACATGTGCACCTACTCGGTGCCGGCCAGTCTCTGTGTGCCCACTGCTTGGCACCAGAGCAGCTTTAAAGAATGTGCTGGCCTTGGCTTGGGAAGACTGAAAGCTTCCTGGGCTCTCCCATCACTGGCTGAGCATGGTGTTGGAAGAGGCTGGAGTGTTACCTACTCCTCTTATCTGTGGATGGCCTGGCATAATACCCGGAGTACGCTGGCCGAGAGCCACAGAATCATGCTGCTGATTTATGTCCGCCTGGCAACACTTAGCTTTGCCCTGTGGCTCTTCTGGCCAAATAGGTTTCTCTCTCGTTAGACTTTTGGGGTCTTTGTCAGCTGTGTCTCTCCCTCCTGATGTCCCCCCAGCATCTCCTTTCCAGCATGTGTTCAGTAAATGCTTGTAGAATAAAAGGACAGGGTCTGTCTGGACAGCAGAATCCACCCCTTCAGCCTCTGATCTTTCCCCAAGCCAGGTCTCAGGTTTCTCGTCTGTTAAATGGGAGGGTAAGTCTTCCCAGAGGCCCCATGTACTGTTGACGACTGAAGGGTTAGTTAGTTCTCAGTCTTCAGAAGCCTGTGGTGAGGAGAGGACAAGTGGAGGGTGGGTAGAACAGAGACAACGCAGAAAGAAGCCTGGTCCTGCCCTCCTGGTACCCTCAACTGCTTCTGGCACTGCCTGCCTCAGCTGCTCTGACCTCAGACCTGAGCTCCTTACTCCCGCCTCCTGGCCCACACTGTTCATGCCGGCGAGGGAGATGGGCCATAGAGCTCTGCCTCGGGGTCTCCTTGTGTACCGACTCCCGTGGGCTCTTATCCATCCCAGGAAGTCATCAGGCAGAGCTCTGGAGTCCTCCTGGGCCAGCGGTGACTGTTAAGGTGGGCGGTGGTTCCAGAAGGCGGAGGGTTGAGCCTAAGGTCTCACAGGGGCCAGGGCCTGGCTGGGCACCTCCCATTGCCTGGGCTGGGACTGGAGCACGTTTCCATCATTCATTCAGTACTTCAGGCTTCATGCGCAGACCTCAGGCTACTGTTGGATCTGGGGTCTGTGGCTTCCTGGATGTGTGAACTTGGGCAGGTTACTTACTGTCTCCAGACCTCAGCTGCCTCATTGTAAAAAGGTATATCACACATCTTGCAGCCTTCAGGGTTAAAGGAGATCATGTATGCAAACACCACTGGAGTGCCTGGCATAGAGTGAGCCTCAGATGCGGGCAGTCATGATCCCTGCTGTTTCCCAGTGGTGTGTGACACATTTCCACAGGCCCCCGTCGTGTTCTCAGGTGGGGCTGAGGGCATTCAGGGAGGCCGAGGCCTGGAGGATGACATGCAGCCAGCTGAATAGCACCTAAAATAAGAACATTCCAGGCTGAGGGAAGTGGGAAAAAGCGAGTTGATTTCGAAGGACAGCCCAGAGACTGGAGTGAGGAAAGAGGTTGGGTGGCAAGGTGAGCCGGGCCAGACCGTGCAGTTCTCGCCGTGTGCACTTGGGTTGGTCCCTGAACTTCTCTAGAGCTTCATTTGATCCAGCTGCCAATCTCACAGAGGCGAGGTGAAAATCTGGAGACTGGGCACGTGGACTGTAAGTGTAGTGGCTGTCATGGAGGTGTTGGTTCATTCTTTTTTTTTTTTTTTTTTAAATATTTTTATTTATTTCTAGGAGAGAGAGAGAGACAGCGTGAGCAGGGGAGGGTCAGAGAGAAAGATACAGACTCTGAAATAGGCTCCAGGCTCTGAGCTGGCAGTCAGCACAGAGCCCGATGCGGGGCTCAAACCCACGAACCGTGAGATCATGACCTAAGCGAAAGTCGGACGCTTAACCGACTAAGCCACCCAGGCGCCCCAGTGTTGGTTCATTCTATAGATGCGTTTAGCTGCAGCCAGAGAGAGGGAGGCACTTGCTCTCCTGGGTCCCTGAGCCAGTTCTCCAGACAGCCAGGGCTTGGACTAAGGGTGTATTATGCTCTTTTTGTTTGTTTATTTGTTTGTTTTAAAAGTTTATTTATTTTGAGGGAAAGCGAGAGAGAGAGAGAGAGAGAGAGAGAGAGAGAGAGACCCAGCAGGGGAGGGGGGGGGGGGGCGGGGACTGACCGAGGACCTTATGCAGGCTCTGTGCTGTCTGCACAGATCCCAACGCAGGGCTCAAACTCACGAACCTTAGGATCATGACCTGAGCCAAAGTTGGACACTTAACCAACTGGGCCGCCCAGGTGCCCCAAGAGTGTATTACACTCTTGACGTGTTTCCTGCCTCTCTGGGCCTCTTTGCTTCCCAGATGCAGAAACCGAGTTACCAGGAGAAGGACTCCACATCCCCAGTGTGTCCCCTGCAGGTTACGTGCTACCTGCGTTGAATCCCAAGTCTGGTGGGGCCCTGCTCGGGTTCATCTCCCAGTGGTGGGGGCTCTGAGAACTGTCAACTGGGGAAGGAAGGCCTCACGGGTGGTGGCCTCCATCTCCTGTTGCCTGAGGCCTGCCCTGGGGCCCACGCAGCGAAGGTGTAAATGGGGCAGCTGCCTCCCAATCAGATGGTAGGAGCTGCTCCAGAAAAGGGAGTGAGGTTGCTGGCCCTCGAGTTATTCAAACAAAGGCTGGATGACCTTGCATGTTTGGATGAAGATGTAGGGTTTGTGGAAAGCAGCTTGTAAACTGTACAAAACGCTGGTGGTTGTGATTAGAAGGAAGATTCCAGGAGAGATTTATGCGGTAGCTACAGCTGAGAGGCCTGACCTCAGGATCCCTTCCAGCCAAGGAAGTCTGAAGATTATTAACTTTTGAACTTCCAGGGTTCTCAGATACAGCTTTAGCTACAGAGCAGACACAATGACTGCATTTGACCTTCAAAGCCCTGGTGGTCTGAGGTCTTCCAGCTCCCCATCACCACTAACCGTTGTCCCTGTACCATATGGTGAGGGCGAGTTGAGAACCATCAGAGTGTAGATGGCAGAATCTGAGAGTTGGGGCCCAAAGACTTGGCTTTGAGATCTGACTCTGCCATTTACTGTGTGGCTCTGAGCAAGTCACTTGGCCTCTCTGAGCTCCTTTTTCCCCTCTATGTAATGCAGATGATGGAACCTACAGAGAAGCTTCATAGGATTGTTTTCAGGAATGAGGGAGGTATGAATAGACAAGAAAATATTTTACAAGCAGTGAAATCCCACATCTCTCAGGGAACTGTTGCCACTGTTAGCCAATGAGCAGATGGGATGTCCGTGTCTTTATTCTTCGGGGAGCTGGGAGAAGCCAGGAAGGTGGGTCGCCGTAGCTTTAGGATGTTAATAAATCAATAAATTGGAAGCTGCTCCCGGGAGGATAGGAAGGTGTGATCACATTCCATGCCGCCCCGCCCCCTCCTTGGAGGTTCTAGGTGTGAGTGAAGTACAGCCTATCTAGATGTGAGCCCAGGAGGGCCCAGAAGAAGCATCCAGTTCTCATTGTTTGTTTGGGTAAATGGAGGCCCCAGGTCACAGCCAGGATTCCAAACCTGGTTGGACTAACTCTAGGTTCTTTCTGTAGCATGACAGGAGCAGTGAGATTTTAGTTGCTAATAGTGTGTCTTGTTTGGGACACAGGTTGGTTAGAGGGACCTTGTTGTGTGCCAGACTCTAGGCTAAGACTTGTTGGGAACAAGTAGGCTGGGGCGGGGGCCTGCAGCCTGCAGGCAGGAGGTGGGGGCCCGTGCGTGCATGCACGGATGTGAATGTGTGCCTTGCACCAGTGCAGGGTGTGATTGGGACGAGGGGGATCTGAGGTACTGGAGGAGAGAATGGGGTTTGGATCCAGCCTTAAGGGTTAGTTAATGGTCAGCTGGAACCCAGGGAGCTGGACTGTTAGAAGCAGCCTGGGGACCCCCAGACCACGGATCCCTGGACTTCTGTGGCTCTTGCCTTACAAATGCTCTTCCCTGTTGATCACTTCCAGTGCGTTAGGCTCTGGATTAAGTAAGCCCTTACTCCTCACAGAACCGTGTGTTGAGGGTTCTGACGTCAGAACCATTTGGGAGATAAGGAAACCAAGAGGCTACGTCAATGTGCCCATGACTGCACAGCGGATATGCTTAGGAACCTCACTGGAAAACCCTCAGGAGCTCCCTTCATCCCATTGCTCTTTCACCCTCTCCCATGCAGGAGGTACCTCTGAGTTTCACAGAGCAGAGTTCCTGCCTGGATTG